GACCCAATCCTGGTTACCCTCCCTGTTGCCTAAAGCTGTCTTGTTTCGTTGTTCCCCTCTGGTCTGGAACAGCTGAGTCTCTGCTGTTTTTGACACTTTGGAGGACTGATGAGGTATTTTGTAGGCTGGCCTCTGATTTTGGCTGTTTGATGTTTTCTTGTGATTTGGGGGAAATACTCAGAGGTGCAGTGCCCGTCTCATCACACTGGACCATGGGCTGCATGATGTGAGCAGGACTTGGTTGGTTGTGACCCTGGTCATTTGGTGAAGGTGGTATTTGCTGGGCCTCTGCTCTGTGATATGACAGTTGTCTCTCTTGTTGGTTTGGTTCTTGGAAGCCATTATTCAGTCCAGCTTACATTCAAAGGCAGCAGAGGGATTTTACATTATTTGAATTCTTCTCCCTGTATTTATTTCATCACTTATATGTATCAGTATGGACTCACGTATTCATTTGTACTTTGGGTTATTGGGTTATAACCTAATACATGCTATCTTACTGCACACATTGTTCCAGCTTTGGCCAGTGGGTATCTTTCAGGTAGGCTTCTGTGTCCCTCTGACACACCCGTCCTTCGTTAGGAACGCTGCCTTCCTTTCTGGTACCATGAGGTAGATGCTCCGGACTTACCTTGGGTTTCCCTGTCCCAGCATCACCCATTTTCCTCCATGGTTGTGGTTCTTTTTAATGGAGAAGAGTATTTAGAAACCAGATCTGGGCTCAGGTGTTCTCACTGCTGGGGTGTTGCTGCTTCTCAGCCCTCAGCTCACATTTGAGAGATGCACATACTGACTGACTTGTAATGATTTCTGTGCCTGCTTGTCTGTGTTGTCACCTAGACACCAGTTCTTACGGATGTCCCCATGGCTAACCTAGCATCACAGGGTCATGCTGGCCTCCTCCTCCTCCCTTTGCACATTTCTAATCCCATTCAATAACGGGGAGACACCAGCCAACCCAGCATCTATTTATTGCCACCTTACACACGTGAGTGGTTTCTGCGCTGTTCACCCCGCCCGCCCCCAGGCAGATTACAAAGACGTGTTCAGTGTCTGTGTGTCTGTCCTCAGGCCTCACAGCTTCCACTCAAAACCTCGTTTTCCAAAGTTACTTTGGGGAGCTCCTCCCTCCCAACTCGGTGGGATTATTTCAGATATTTTACAATACAGTTCGATACATTTGTCAATCTGCATTCTGTCCTGGTACCCCTGCCATCCTGGCGGATATTTTAAAAATGTGTGTGCATTGAAGTTCATTCCCTATATGAGATGTACAGTCATCTGACTTTGGACAGATACATAGTCATGTGTCCACCACCCAGACAGTTAGCACCCATTGGAACCTTGCAGTGTTTAATGCGTGTTTAATGCCATGTTGCCTTTCCTCGCATAAAGACATAGTGGGTTTTAATCTTGGGGAAGAACATTAGAATTTTAGAAATCGAAGGAACCTTAAAAGATCCACTAATTTTACATTCTTACTAGGCAAGTTGGGCATCAAGCCAGAATTGGAACCTAGACATTTGGTTCTGCTCCCCTCCCCATCACTGTCACTGGGTGCCTGAGATGGGCAAGATGAGCAAGACAGGCACAGATTGCCTCACTTTGCTTTAATTTAGGCCTCAAGTCTATGCTTATAGGCGTGATTTCTTTATTTTTTTGTTTTAGGAGCTTAATTCTAGCAGACAAGTATTTGTTTAATGTTGGCTGAGCTTTGGGGGAATAATTGAAGGTGTTGTTCATCATTTGCTAATTAGTATTGTGAATTATTATGGATGTCCCATGGCTAACCTAGCATCACAGGGTCATGCTAGGTTCGTTCACCTTGCTTTTTAAAAAAAATGTATTTTTATTGATTTCAGAGAGGAAGGGAGAGAGAAATAGTAATAGCAATAATGAGAGGGAATCATTGATTGGCTGCTATTTGCACACCCCCTACTGGGGATCGAGCCTGCAATCTGGGCATGTGCCCTTGACCGGAATTGAACCTGGGACCCTTCAATCCACAGGCCAGCGCTTTATCCACTAAGCCAAACCGGCTAGGGCCACTTTGCTTTTTAATGCTAGTCTGAAACCAAATGTTCTGAGTGAAGAAGGAATTGTATTTGGGAAAGAGGTGACTGTGGAGCGCTCCACATTCCACTCTCTGGAGGCAGATGAAAATTCTCTAGAAGTCTCCACGGATGTTGGCTTTCTCTGAACAGAGTATATCTTGTTAATCTTTATAGGTAGTTTAAAGGCTCTTTGGGGGGCCCCGAAATGAGACCCTCCATTTTCATTCTTGTGGTGCTTGCCAGGCACCAAGCTGGACCCTTGACATGCAGTTGAGTAAGCTTTGTACCTTGTCATCTGTCAAGAGAGGATTTGAAAGAAGGAGCATTTAAAAGAAGGAGCATGTGAAAGAAGGAGCTTTTGTCCCCAGTTGGTGGCACAGATGTGGCCAGTATGGGCATGGCTCATACCAGTGCTGTTTCAGCTTCTTATTGATTTTTTTCTTTTAAAAGTCTTTTAGAAGCATAACTGTACCACTCTGACACAGTTATGGTGGTTTTTGTCTTTTTCCTTCCAGTCTTTTCCCATAGTTTTACATGGTTGTATGTACAGGATAGTATATTCTGAAATGGTTTTTGTTTAGTATTTTGTCATAAGCTTTTTCCAAGTTTCTTCACAGCACCATGTAGTGTGTGTATTTACCCAGCTCCTTATTGTTAACTTATTTTTTCTCACAGGAGTCTACCCCGATACTTTTTATGTTCCCAGTGTTTTTTAATTGGGTACATTGGTGTCCTAGGCTCTATTTCCTGGAGTAAAATTACTAGGTCAGAGAGCATGACCATCTTACAACTCTGGAAATACATTGCCTATTGTTTTATAACCCAACAGCCTTCCTTGAAATCGTGTCAGATTAGACTGATAAACTGCCTACTCTGCCGCCATCACCTATTACCACTTTCCCCAGGCTCAGTAGGGTGGGGCTGCACACACACCTCCGGCCGTGCACCTGGCTCTTCTGATGGAACACCCATCTAGGCAGTGCCCGAAGGGCAGCCCCTTCTCTCGCCTCCAGTGGTGGTGAGGATGATGTGGTAAGAATGCAGTGAGACACGCTGCCCAGTAGCTGGCAGCAAGTGGGCAAGCCACGTCATCTCTGGACTACTCTCCTGGAGATGGGCAGGGCCTGTCTCTGAACTGCTCCCAGCCTCGGTTTCCCAGAAGAATGGGTTAATAAACTCTGTTATAAAATATAAATATTGAGTATGTGATACTCAACTTATAATTCTGCCTTATCTCCTCTGAAAGATGTCTATGGAGCAAGCAGCCACACTGTCTTTTCTAGAATTCCTTGCAGAGGTGGGGAGCAAGGGTGTGGTAACTCATACCCTTTCATTTCAGGGCCTCTTAAGAGACTTTAACAGTAAGTCTTCTCTTACATGGAGACTTAAGATGTTGGCAAAATATCCAGGACCTAGTGATTTAAAAATGCTTTGAAACATCGCTGTACATATATAAAGTTCTACTAGTATATAATAAGTGAGTTGAGGTTATCCTTTTTAGAATGTGAGGAGCTGAAGCTGGCCTAATTTAGTTTTTCTTGTTTAACTATACTTTTCTAGTTTAGTGAATGTACAATATTTTTAGATTAAGGGATATAACAAAACAAGATTTTCCTATTCTAAGAAATAGAACATTAGTTGACTAATTGTATATTTTATTTTTTCTTACAAACTGAAATATCTTTATCAAAAACTTTATCTCAGGAATACAGAAAAGTATTTTTCCTTTAAATATGCATCTTTAAGAAGTTTGCCTCTAAATGAGATTTCATTATAACTAACTTTCCAATAAAATTTGGTGACTGCTTCTGTTACAAAAATCAATGAAAAATGAGAGTAACTCCACAGTGACATCCAGTAGGTGACCATTGAACACTCGAACTTAATTTCTAATGTAATTTAATTCTATGTAGCCTCATATTGGACAGTGGGGTTGTAGAGATTTACACCTAAGGGCACATGATTTTCACCTTTAGCTGAATCACTTGATTTAGTTTAAAATTATGTTTTCTAAACTACTTTATTATAGGAACAAAAACTGCAGATTTTATTTGGGTGAATGAGTTTGGGAAAACAGCAAGAGAGGAATTGACTGTTTTTAACTTTAAATATTTTAGCAAAATGTTTTTCAGTGCCTTTGGTGTGTGTTTAGGAACAGAGAGGATCCAGGTGCCTTTTACTTTTCCCTGGGACTTGCTTCTCAGCCCCTCCTTGGTATGTCACAGACACTAGAGATAGGCGGGTGACTTTTTGCAGTGGGCGAGCCAGTAGACGTAAGGAGGCTTTGGCTATAGTTTTCATCACTAAAAAGGCAGTAAATTTAGACTTAGTCCCCATGGTGGTTCTGAACCTGGTGCCACACGACTAGGACTGGTCTTTGCACAGAATAAGCATGTGACAATTATTTGGGGGTGAATGTGTTCACTCTTGTTATTATCCCCATATGCTGAATGCTTCAGAGTATTTAACTATAGGAGATGGAAATACTTGACTTTTATTTTTTTAAAACCCTGTCTGATTATTTTCCTATTTGACACATTTGATCTACTTTGAAGAAATTATTTTGGTTTCACTGAGGGTAGCTGGCTTCTCTGTCATCTTCCTTCCCACTTCTTTATTTTCCTGTTCTCTTTTTTTCCATCACTCTCTTTTACTTCAAAATACTGGGTTTGGGGCGGGGGTCAGGGAACTTATCATTGTATATTTGTAAGCAAGATGATCTTTGACCTTGACAAGAAAGAAAAAACTAATTTGCAGTGTGGATGGATGGGATCATATGTTATTGACAAGGAGATGATTTCCCATTTGAGCAATGTGCTGCACACTTTATTGTGGCACTCTGGACCTTCTGGCTGTCTTGGATATTTCCCATATCTGAAATTTTTGGATTCTGTATAGACATGTCTGCACATTGAGCATGTGCTGCTGTGCTGCCTGGCCTCTGATCAAGTGTCCTTCTCGCTTGCACAGGTTGCACAGAGCATCGAGGACCATCATCAAGAAGTCATTGGTTTCTGCAGAGAAAACGGCTTTCATGGTTTGGTTGCGTACGACTCTGATTACGCGCTGTGCAACATCCCCTACTATTTCAGTGCCCACGCCCTAAAACTGAGCCGGAATGGGAAAAGTCTCACCACAAGCCAATACCTGATGCATGAAGTGGCCAAGCAGCTGGACCTGAACCCAAACCGCTTCCCTATCTTTGCCGCTCTGTTAGGTAGGTGGGCAGTGTGAAAGCTACCTCAAGTCATAAAGGAGTTCTGTACCAAGAACACACTGATATTTTAATTTCTAAAGCTGGAGTGTTTTGGATTCAATCTTAACTTCAAAAGAACCAGGGAATGGGTTCCTCCTCAAAAGCATTTTTTTTTTAAACTGAGCTTTTTTTTTTTTTTTTAAATATATTTTATTGATTTTTTACAGAGAGGAAGGGAGACAGTGAGGGATAGAGAGGTAGAAACATCGATGAGAGAGAAACATCAATTCAGCTGCCTCCTGCACACTCCCCACTGGGAATGCGCCCGCAACCAAGGTACATGCCCTTGACGGGAATCGAACCCGGGACTCTCCAGTCCACAGGCTGACACTCTATCCACTGAGCCAAACCGATCAGGGCTCAAACGCATTTCTTAATATTATTTTTGGCATTGCTCATAATGTGCTTCTTTTGTTCTAATGTGTTCATTTATGTATTATATTGTCCAGGCTGAACAACTAATTTTGTTAATAAATTCACTTAAAGTTTGGGCAAAATAACAGTTTTAAAAAATCACAAATGTTAACACAGTCCGACTCTGAAAATTAGACATTTAAACCTTTGGCATAAGTTGTGTTTCTTATAGAAGAAAATCTGCTGTGGTTCCCGCCCCCCCTTCACTTTTGGGACACTCACTACTTTAAAAGAAAAGCAACAAAAGTAAACTATCTTACCTTGTTTACAATGCCGACATTTTAAGTAAATATATACATGTCTATAAAAACTCCCTTGGAGAAATTCCTTATGTTGAATACATAGAAAGGAAAGGAAGAAATCTTATTTTAACTAAGATTTTATATATATATATTTGCTTAAAAATAACTGTCACTTTATGCCTGGATATTATAGTTATTTTCTTTCTTTTCTCTTTTGTCGGTTTCTCTGTCTGTATGCCTGCAACTATTTGAATATCCACTTCTAGGTTGCTGCCAGTGTGTAAGAATTGTGACCGCAATATAAGTAAGCATGCTTTGAGCAGTATAAATATGTTTTGAGCGAAGCCCTCCTGTGATTAAAATCCATGCGCTGCAGTGATGGGATTGAGGGCTGTTTGTAGCACATAAACCCTTGTGAAAGATATGTGGCCTCAAGAGAGTGAGATCACATTGTACTCTCAGTTTGTATCTGTAGAGGTTAGTGGACCAATCTGGTTGTATGGGAATTATATTGTGGAGCATTTTTAGAAATTTCTAGTTATCAGATTTTTATGAACATTCTAAAAAAGTTACACACAATTAGAAATTATTGTAAGCAAATTTTCACATTTTACAAGCCACACATTTTCACTTTATTTGGTGTTAGCAAATTGTGTAACTACCATAATCGGTCAACAAAATTCTGATTTCATAAATTGTCTTTGTTTGGATCTAATCTCATATATGTGTCTTTAAGTTTGCACTTCTCTGTTTTCTGACTGTCTTCTTAGGCAACTTATGTGACTTGAGATTGGAGGATTAAAACTAATTTTCTAAATATGCTTTCATATTTTTAAATATCTATATATATAAAAGCCTAAGTGACTGAACAACTGAACAACCAAATGACCAATCAAACGACCAGTTGACCGGTCGCTATGATGCGCACTGACCACCAGGGAGCAGACGCTCAATGCAGGAGCTGCCCCCTGGTGGTCAGTGTGCTCCCACAGCGGGAGTGCCGCTCAGCAGACTGACAGGTCTCTGTGGCCCACCAGCCTGGCAACAGCCACTCACTCCCTCAGTAGTCCTGCAGGTCCAATCTCCGGAGAAGGGCCCAGGCACCAATGGACCATCGCTGCCAGCATGATCCCGACAGCACCGCTGGCCTCCTGAAAGTCAGCCTCGGGCACCATGGCCACTTCCCTTCCCTAGACGCTGAAACGATATAAAAGCGGCTGCCAGGTGGCTCCTGACAACTGGTGCGAAAGTCAGCAGATGCCAGCCCGGCAAGGGCATCCCAGAGGGCTGATTGTGTCCCGGCCCCCACCCCGCCCCCACCCCTCACCCCCCTCGGGGCCAGCGCCAGACACAGGGCTCACAGCACTATAGCGGTGCAAGCCTCTCCTGATCAGGACTGACTGGGCGCAAGCCTGCAGCAGGCGCAGTGAGGCCGGGACGAGCAGGAGCGGCAGGCAGGAGCGGCGTTGGACTGCTGGTTTAAGGCCCAGTCCCCACAGGCTATGCCAAGGAACCCCACCGTGCACAAATTTGTGCACCAGGCCTCTAGTTAAAATATAAACGGTATTTCTCTGATGTTAAAAGTGATTATGTAGATGGTCACATTACAAAAAGTTTTATATGTACTTAAACGTTATGCAAAATGACTTGGGGATATTAACTGATTTTTAATAAACTGGAAAAGTGTATGCTTTTAGAATAGGAATGCCTTTGCTAGTTTGAGATGTAGAAGGATAGTTGTTTATTTTATTTAAGAAACATTGACTATATTTCATAGGAGATAATGCCAACTCATTCTCTTCTAACTACGTTATTTTGTGAAATTTTAAAATAAATGAAAGACAATCAGTAGTTACATATTGAGTAATTTAGTAATGAATTAATTTAGGGCTTGGAATTTCTTGAAAAAAATTAAGCAAGTTATAGGCAAACTCTTAATTGGGTGGGCATTTTTATTTTAGATTTTGTGTAAAAGTTTCAAAGTCCTCAAATGAGAAAGATTATATTTTTTTTCATTTTTGTAGTAGAAAGTATAGCTATATAAGTTGTTTTGCTTTAGAACAGTTGGGTGCAATATTCATGTAACATGTATTTGACTCATGTTTTAACAGACTATTACTGATGTAATTGGGTGAATATTTTTTTATATAAAAGCTTTAAAAAAATCTCAGACACTTCATACATCACAGTAAAGTTATATGCAATCTGTGAAAAGAGGAACACAGTGCAGAGCAGTTACTAGACAGGACATAGCTAAGCTCCTGGGCATGATGGCAGTTCAGCACTTCTGTGTCTTGTTTTGTGTGTTTAGAATATTATGATCAGGCCCTGACCGGTTTGGCTCAGTGAATAGAGCGTCGGCCTGTGGACTGAAAGGTTCCAGGTTTGATTCCCGTCGAGGGCATGTACGTTGGTTGCGGGCATATCTCCAGTGGGAGGTGTGCGGAAGGTGGCTGATCGATGTTTCTCTCTCATCGATGTTTCTCTCTGTCTCTCTCCCTTCCTCTCTGTAAAAAATCAATAAAATATATTTAAAAAAATATTATGATCAGGAATGCTGCAAATAATCTCACCCTGTTTTGCTTTCTGTTAGCCAATTAATGAGTCTGCTGTCCACATGGTGGTGACTAAATTATGATATAAAAATCACAGAATTATTTAGGAAATTACTGCTTTTAAATTGCATTGAGATAACTAACATATTGAAGATGTTTATATATTAGGCAGCAAGCACTAAATGAAGGGAGAATGTTTCCCCAAAATGTAGCTTTTTAAACTGTATACAGTGCTCATTTGTGACATAGCCTGGTGATAAGATGCACAGCTGAATGACACTGCTTGGTGGTGTTAAGATCTGTTCTTTGTCACATCTATTTGTGGGTGGCGGTAGAAATTATGGGAGGAGGGTGTTGATCCATGCCACGAGCAGTAGTCATTGTCACCTAAATTTTATAACTGCAGATTTTTACCTTTTCTGTTGAACTGGTTTACAGAATGCAATCTTCATTTGAACCAATGAAAGCTTGTATGAAGTTGGCATTATCAGGCTGTGCTTAGGTTGTTACACAGTGTACTCAGTGTGGGTGCTGCTGGAAGTGTACTGCAAATTCCCGTTGTAGTTAAGGCAACTGCAAGAAGTGGGCCTGCTCTGTGCTGCTTTATATTAAAAGATAAAGAAGTAGCCCTGACCGGTTTGGCTCAGTGGATAGAGCGTCGGCCTGCAGACTCAAGGGTCCCAGGTTCTATTCCGGTCAAGGGCATGTACCTTGGTTGCGGGCACATCCCCAGTGGGGAGTGTGCAGGAGGCAGCTGATCGATGTTTCTCTCTCATCGATGTTTCTAACTCTCTATCCCTCTCCCTTCCTCTCTGTAAAAAATCAATAAAATATATTTTTTAAAAAAAGATAAGTATTCCCAATTTCTGTGTGGAAGTTTTATGTGGTTTATCAAATGAGGTAATCTTAGGGTTCTAACTGCAGTGGTAATTTCCCTGTGTCACTATGGTGATGGCTTTTTTAGGTTCCATGTTTGCCTTCCAGGAAATCACATTCTACCTGATGAAGACCTGGCTTCCTTTCACTGGAGTTTACTTGGTCCGGAACACCCACTTGCCTCACTTAAGGTACAAATTCATTTCATTTCCAACATTTGTAATATTCAACTGTTGATTTTGTTCTTATTTTAATATAAATAATGTTCCTTTATTGTAGAAGGAACTATGCCACAAAGTTAGCAGTGTTGTGCTTTCCCCTAACTTCAGGATCTGCCCTACCTTAAAAAATAATCTGCCTTGGCTTATCCCCAACACATATATTTTAGAGAAATTATAAATGTCCTTAAAAATTTCCTTAGAGGAATTCTTCATGTCCTATACCCAGAAGGTGGAATTCTTTCAGCTAAAGATTTTATATGTTAATTTTCTTACTTACAAATGTGAGTTTTTCAATAGGTGGTGGAATCACCTCTACCTTCGATCAATGTGTTAGCCTGTACCTGTGTGTAGCCAATTGACATGCTTCCTCCAGAGCCCCCTTGCCTCTGCCTCTTCTCAGAGCTCCATCCAAGACTCAGCCTTTGCACTTCTCCCTTTCTGATTTAATATTCTGCAGTGTTTACAACCCTACCTTCCAATTCACTGATTTTTAGTCACTCACCTTCCTTTAATAGCATTACCTTTTCCTTAGGCAGCTGGAAACCAGGGCATCCTACCAGGTGACATTTACCTGGATTTTTCTAATGCTATCCCTAACTTTATGTTTTTTTATGTCTTACTGTCTGCCATCAAAAGTCACTGAGCAATGTTTTTTTTACAAGTGTTGTTAGGAAGTGTGTGTTCAACCCCAGGGAGGAGGAATCTAGGCTGGTTCCCAGAGAGTAACATGCTAGGGTCCCAGGAACATGGAGTGGACAGAAGTGTGAGGTGGGGACATATGGCAGGGCTCTTGGCAGATATCGGGGTGAAGTGCTGCCTCAGAAGTTCTCTTCCCTCTCCAGCTTGATGAGGTGCTGTGGGCATCAGCTGCACTGGCTGCCCAGTGTCTAGCCATCTCACAATCCATACCCACTGTGTGTGGGCCCTGTTTGGGTTTCATGTCATACATGGAGCCAGCTTCCAGAGTGAAAAGCAGCATAATTTGAGGCACTTTGAAGGTCTGTGGTTTATCTTACATCGTATGCAACTTTATCTGAGCGAGGTAGGACATCAGATCCTTTTTGGAATCCTATTTGAGAGTAAGTTGGGTAGCCCTGGACGGTTTGACTTAGTGGATAGAGTGTTGGCCTGTGGACTGGAAGGTCCCAGGTTTGATTCCGGCTGGGAAGGTTTGCGGGAGGCAGCTAGTCAATGATTCTCTCTCATCGTTGATGTTTCTATCTCTTTATCTCTCTTCCTTCCTCTCTGAAATCAATAAAAAAAATATATTAAAACAAAAACGTAAGTTGGGTATGAATTGTACATAAATTGAAAAATGGGCTTCGTTTATTTTGAGTTCTACCTTTTAAGGCGTTAGGAGGTAGCAGTTTGGGCACTACAGACCTTTCAACTACGGAATTCCTGCCCCTGTATTTGTGTTAATTGAAGTTAACTCAATATATTCCCTTCTCAAGAAGTCATCCTATAGTTTTGTAAGAAGCAAGCAGCACTTCTAAAATCCAAGGACATTTTGGGCTCTAGAGCAGCGGTTCTCAACCTTTGGGTCGTGACCCCTTTGGGGGTCGAACGACCCTTTCACAGGGGTCACCTAAGACCATCGGAAAACACATATATAATTACATATTGTTTTTGTGATTAATCACTATGCTTTAATTATGTTCAATTTGTAACAATGAAATTGGGGGTCACCACAACATGAGGAACTGTATTAAAGGGTTGTGGCATTAGGAAGGTTGAGAACCACTGCTCTAGAGGAAATAATGTTAGGGGCCTGGAAGGTTGAGAAAAATAAACCATTATGTAATGTGGAGGTGAGAGCTACTTAGAATCCCACTCCTGGAAGATATCCACTTTTAATAGATTGATACTTGATCCTCCAGAATTTTTAAAAAATGTACATTCTATTAATTTGTCATTATAATGTCACTATTATTATGCACATTAGCTGTACATTCTTAACGATCCCAGTGGGACTTTAGTGCACTGTACCAGGCTCTCAGCTTTTAGATTGTGAAAACCTGTTTTTAGTTAAGAAGTTTTATTTTAAATTTATATATGGAATCCCTAAAAAGAAAATATAAAACCAAACTCACTAGAGTTTTACTTGTTTATGCCTTTCCATTAGAGCTTCCTTCCTTGTTCCCCATTGGTTCTCAAGTGAAGGTGGACAGTTTGAAGTTCCAAGGAATCTGCTGGAATGGGTGGAACTCAAGTATAGCTTTTTTGTCTATTTTTCAGATGGGGGAGGGGTTCCCACATCACATCTCTGGGAAAGGGTCAGAGTCTTGGGCAGGATTTGTGCTCCCCAGTTGTTACAGATTGCTTTCAGCTCGCCTTGTCCCGGGAGGGACTGGGTCTGCCAGCAGATTCTTCCCGAGCGAGCTGGAATGCATGTTCCATCCAGAAGGAGCAGAGCTGAGGCATGAGAGGGGAGACTCTGAAAAGTACCATGTTCACAGTGCCCGGCTTCTGAGGCCGTGGGTGTCAAGGAAACAAAGGGAAGCTCAACTAGTGGCATTTCTGCTCTCTCTTTGTCTTCTCATGACCTGGAAGCTTCTAGTTTTATGTTAAATTTAGCAGTATATTTTCAGTCTTTAAATAAGTGTGCAGAACATTTCTAGCTTATTTCCGCCCCCGTGGATCGGGAACCCTGGCACTGTCCATAAGCAGGCCTTCTCTGTCATGAATGGAAGAGATCATTTGTATTGGAATAAGGCTCTCCTGGTGGTTTTCCGACCTTGTCCTCACACACACCCTGCGCCTCCCCAGTGGTCCCTGCACACCGAACACTGAGGCGGCTCACCCTGAGATAGGGCCTTGCTTGAGAAGAGACAAATCTAGGACCAGAGGACATGTGACAGAGTTGGAACTTGCCAGCCAGTTACTTCTAAAACTGCCATTCTTAGTTAGAAAACATCTCTGTTTTTATGATAGCTTTCTTGAGACAATTCACTTATCATAAAAATCTACCCCTTTAACACTAAAAACCAGTGGTGTTCACAGAGCTATGCAACCATCATTACTACATAATTTTAGAATATTTTTATCACCCCAGAAAGAAACCCTGTGCCAGTGGGCAGTCACTCCCCACTTCTCACTCTCCCCACCTCCTAGCAGCCACTAATCTACTGTGGATTTGCCTCCTCTGGATATTTTTTATAAGTGGAATTATGTGACTTCTTGTGTCTAGCTTTTTTAATAAGCATGTTTCATTTATGTTGTAGCATGTGTTAGCACTTCATTGCTTTTATGGCCAAATAATATTCCACTGTATAGGTATAACTACCACAGTTTATTTATTCATCAGGTGATGGACATTCAGGTTGTTTCTACCTTTTGGCTATTGTGAATATTCATGTACAAATCCATGTGTGGAGCTAGCTATGTTTTCATTTCTCTCAGGTATATACCTGGGACTGGAATTGCTGGTCAGGTGGTAACTCTGTGCTTAATATTTGAGGAAAACAGCGGCTACACTGTTTACATTCCTTCCAGCAATTGTGTGAGGGCTGTGTTTTCCCCACATCCTCACCACTTGTCATTGTCTGCTCTTTTATCTTTAGCTGTCCTGGGGTATAATGTTGTTTGGTTTGCCTCGCTGAGGACTGGTGATACTGAGCATCTTTCCCTGTGCTCACTGGCCAGTTGTATGTCTTTTTTGAATAAATATCTATTCAGATCCTTTATCTATTTTTAAATTGGATTATTGAGTTGTAAAAGTTCTTTTTATATATTCTGGATCTACATCTCTAATCAGATACTAATTTGCAGGTACTTTCTGTGGTTGTCTTCACATTCCTTGATTGGGTCCTTTTGATAACTCTTTAGAGACTCAGGCCACCTAAATGTACCACTTTTTACTGCTCATAATCACTCCATTCAAGTCACTTTTGTCATTTGTTACAGCTTTGGGGATCTTATCAGTCTTTCCCATTGCCTTCCAGAATCCTCTGGGAGCTCAGTGTACTGGAGATTGCCCACAGACAACATGTCCTTTGTGTCCCTTGACTGCAGTGGTCTACCCTTTACTGTATTGTAGCCTTTTAGGCCCAGAGTCATACATTGGCTCTTCTATCTGAAGCTTTAATATCCCTTCTTTTCTCTGTCACCACTGCCTTCTAGCGTTAGTATTCTCACAAGCTACGACTTTGCTCTTTGGCCCTCTTGGGGCCCTCTGCCCATTTTCTCACAGATTCTCTTTCCCTAGCCAGCCTGGGACCTCCTAGCAGGTTACCTTGAACTGATTGTACCAGCATCACTCTTAATCTTGCTCGTTCTTCCATCTCATCTGCTCAGCAAAGGCCTCTACCCTAGGTAGGTGCTATAGTCAGCATCCACTCATCTTGAGAAACACATGGCTGAACAGATGGATGCCACTACAAATTTATGGTCTAAGTTAAAGAAGGACCTAATAAATGGAGAGAGGTAATGTATTCATGGATCAAAAGACTGTTGTTATATAGTCTCACTACATCTTAATAAAAATCCCAGCAAACTTTTTTTTTTGATAGAAATTGAAAAACTGATTTAAAAATTGACATGGAATTGCAAAAGACCTAGAGTAGCAACAGAAATGCTGCAAAGGAAGAACAGAAGGACTTAAATGTTACCTAATTTAAAGACTCACTTTAAACTATAATAATCAACTCTGTGGTGTTGACATAAGGGTAGTCATGTAGATCAGTGGAGCAGAATAGGGTCCAGAAATAGACCTATACATGTGTGGTCAGTTGTTTTTGCCAGGAGTCTCAAGGTGAGTAAATGGGGAAAGGATAGTTTCTACAATAACTGTATTCCAATGCAAAACTAAGAATATGAAAATATAAAAGAGATCTTTATGCCCTTGAGCTAGGCAGTGATTTTTTAGTAAGAATGAAAAGCAAGCAATGGAGTGAGAGGACCTGTTTGCAGAATATATCAGTGGTTGGGGACTTCTATCCAGAATGTGTAAAGGACAGCACAATGAGAAG